CCTCAGCCATGGCAGCACAGGAGGAGCTGAGCTCAGCCTGAGCTTGTGCTGGGTTTATCCTCAGCCATGGCAGCACAGGAGGAGCTCACCCAGACTCCTTCCAGCCTGTCCTGGGACAGACAGGAACAATTGTGAGCCAGGACAAGGAGCTGGGCTGGGCTGAGTGGTTTAAATCTGTCCCACCACAAAGCTGGGCCCAAAGCCCCTTTTGGGCTGGGCTGGCTGTTCCTCTCTCCAGCTCAGCTCCACCATTGTCCCTGAGGCTCCAGCAGGGCTGGGCACAGATGCAGCTGCAGCAGCTGCAGCTTCAGGCCCAGCCCAAAAGGGACTTTGGGCCCAGCTTTGTGGTGGGACAGATTTTAAACCACTGTTGGTTTCAGCATCCATGAATGCCTTAAAAATTTAGTAATTTAAAATGAGTTTAAAATGAATAATTGTAATAATAATAACAATAAATTATGATGTATAATAGCAAAATAAAGATAAGAAATAATATAATATAATAGTATAGTATAGTATAGTATAGATACTATTATTATACTAGTTATACTATACTATATTAGTATATATAGTACTATATTAGTATATATAGTATTATACTATACTATACTACTATATTACTATTATTATACTAGTATAGTATAGATACTATACTGCTGTAGGTTTCAGCATCCATGAATCCCTTAAAAAATTTAGTAATTTAAAATAAGTTTAAAATGAATAATTGTAATAATAATAACGATAAATATAATATAATATAATATAATATAATATAATATAATATAATATAATATAATAGTATAGTATAGAATAGTATAGTAGAGTATAGTATAATATAGTATATAATAGTATAGTATATAATAGTATAATAATAAAATTATTATTTGTAATACTAAAAGAAATATAACTCCATATAAAATAAAATCAATACATATATATTCATATATAAGTAATACTAATATTTTATAATTCTCTATAATAATAAATCTATAGAGTATAGAAATATAATTCCATATAAAATAAAATCAATAGATAATCATATATAAGTAATACTAATATTTTATAATTCTCTATAATAATAAATATATAGAGTATAGAAATATAATTCCATATAAAATAAAATCAATA